CGCTCCTTCTTCCTGTGAGCCCAAGATCGATCGGTGACCCCACCATTGGGCCAACGCTTTATTTATCTGGCTGCGCAATGATATTATCAGCCTTAAATGTTATATACAGTAAATGTCTTCCTAAATCAACACAATAGGGTGCCTTGCAGGGACCAGCCCGGTCTTCTTAAAGAAATCCTTCGCTATCTCTCTCTGTGCTTCTCCCTTTGCCCTCCTCCCCTTCTGCTTGCTTCCAGACAATTGAGGGTATTTTATAAGCTGGACTTCGGGGTTTGATCCCTCGCTTTCAGCTTGGAGGCCCTAGCAGTCCAGGAGATGGATAGACACCATTATCTAGCTATCACTGAGATTCCCATCAGGGGTTTCCCATGTCAGCGGGATCCAACCGCCTAGACCCACTCTATTCACAAGATCCGGATTTTTCAAAATTGGGTAGAAGGGAAAGCAAGGGGTGGGGAATCAAGTGTGCAACCCTGCACCGTGTTAATTGTTTTCTTTCCTCTCAATTACATTCATAAACCTATTTTCTGCATTGCATGTTATTTCTTTGTGCTTCAAAATTGAAACCACGTGCAGCCTTCTCCCCTCCGCACACACAATAAATGCACGGCCCCCTCCCCCAACCCATCACGTAACTATTTACATCTTGGCTACTCACAGTGCACTGCTCTGGCCAGCCAGGGAGCAGAAATTGGCCTCATGGGACTAGGTGAGGCTTTGGGGAAAATAGCTCACTGATCCAAATCTCGAGCCCCATCTCAGGGAAGGATTCCTGAGTTCACCTCCTGACCCCCTAGACCATCACCCCTCCTTCACACAGGTGGTTGGAGCTGACACAGGGGAGCTATCAAGGAAGACATCCCAGAGAAGCTGTGCTGCAATGTCTGGCCGGGCCCACCCAGGCCCAGGCTCGCCTGCCAGCCCGGGTCACCTGGGGCCTTGTTTGTGCAACGGACACCACAGACCCCAGTGCAGACAGCTGCTGCTCCCTGGGGAGTACCCAGCCCCAGGTCCTACCAGGCAGCGAAGACCCCCACAAATAAATAAATAATAAACAAGTAAACTCCAAAGGGGGGAGGGGGGCCTGGAAAATGGATCCGCTGACAAGGAGAGATAATAAATGAGAGTGGCTTTCAGATAGATATCTCAGACGTGAAATTGCGCCCAGCTGGTTGTGTAAGCAAACAAATAGTTTCATGTTAGGAACTCTCAACTTGGGGCTCGATGAATAGAACACGACAGAGGTAAATGGGTCTCTAACTCATTTAGGAAGAGAACTCGTTGGCTTCCCAAGGAAAAGGCCCAGTAACGCCAGGGATCCCAAGCAGGCCCTTTAACAAGAGTTTTATTAGTTCCCACTTTCATCCCCCTGTACTCCCTCCCACCTCCTGGTCTCCTATTTGTGGAGTGGTTCAGGTGATTTGTTCCAAGGAATCCGCAAGATCGTGGGAAATGATTCAGCTACTATAGGAGTTTGAGTTCTGCCTATGAGTGCAGGAGGAGGAGAAAATATTTTTTAAATAAACTTTTTTTTTTTTTTGTATGCTCCAAGGAGACAAGGTCAGGTAGACTCTGAAAGTGTAAACTCCTAGCTTCCCCCATGGCTGGGCCTCCAAGAGTCGCCCCTTTGCTTGCTGTTGCCAAAGGCTAAGCCCTGGCCAACTCAAGGAACAGAAACCTGGACACCTGAATGGTTGTGATGGACAGTGGAACCCCAGCATCTCCACCTCTGGGCTTCCTTCCACCCACCATGGTCCCAGGGTAGGTAGGACAGGGGGATGGGCTGAAGATCTTCCTTCTCCTCCCAGATGTCAGAAAGGCTCAGCCCTGTTGTCCCAGAAAACAAAACTCCTGAGATGGCCTTTCAGATTTTTGCAGTAAAGCTTTTGTCTGAAGTAGTTGAAACTGACTTCAAAGCCTTTAAAGTTCTCAGTTGTCCAGCAAGCGTTCCGGGTAGAATAAATCACAGAAAGTCCAAGGTCATAGGTAATTTCAAGAGTGAAGTCATCTTAGGTGAGCTGCTCTCCAACTGGTGAACTGCATCTTCTCTGGCCTTGGGAACCCATCCATTTTACCCCATAGCCCAGGTCTACTCCCTGACTCTTTAGGGCTCCCACAGCCTGGCCAGGCCCAGGCTTAGGCGGGGCTCCACACTTCAGGCAAAGGCAACCAACCATCTGGCTTACAGAGGCCTGCAGGCTCCCACCTGAGTTCCACGGCTCCCCCTGGTGCCTGGCTTGGAGGTGAGCATAGGGACCACCTGGCTGATACCCAGACAGAGGAGGTTCCCACCTGCTCCACCTCACTTCCTGTCCAGGTTCTGGGCCTTAGCAGTGGCCAAGACTGGGAGAAAGCCCTGGATTTGCAATTAGGGCAGCCTAGCTGCTTTGGAAACCCAACTCTGTGCACTCCCACTCCCAGGGACCACCACTGCTGCCCTCAGCCTCAGAGGCAGAGTCCGCTGTGAGGCCAGTAGGATGTGGACAGAGCCTTCAGATGTCCATGCAGAGAGCTGGGCTCTTAGTTCTGCCATCATGAGGCTTAGCCCTTCCTGTAGATGCAGCTTTCTTGGAGGAGAAAGATTTCTAGGAGAAGATTCCTAAGCTCTTTCTGTGCCCTGAATGTGCACAGCCTTTGAGCTCTCAGAGCCAGGGACCCTGCGAGGCTCTGTCTCTCAGTGAGACAGACAGAGATCTCTGATACTGGGAATAAGAGCCTCTTTGTGTGTAGTGCAGGCACAGGGAGAGGGGCACCCAGCCACTGAGGAGATGGCAGAGAAGCCCGCTTCCCAGTCTCTGAAAGGACCCCTCTTTGCTGCTATTACCCCAGCCTCAGAGCTGCTGGAAGTCTACCACAGAGCCCATCAGGCCCTAGGCAGGCCTGCCTCCCCCTTTTCTGGGTGGACTGGCACCCGAAGAGCTTATAAAAGTGGGCTGGATTGCACAGGCCCTGAGTGACCCCCTGTACCCCAGAGCAAGAGTCAAGTGCTCACTGTCACCTCTGAACACCAGAGCAAGCTCTTCTCTGTCACAGCTTACGCTCTCAGGATGCCTACACCAGAAGCCTTGTGGTTGGGCCTCCATATTGAAATTAATTGAAAAGTATGTTTCCGACCTACGAAAATGTTTATCTGTTTTCATCAGAGGGATCACACTGTAATGAATATATTTACATCTCATTTCCAGAAAGGCAGGAAAGACCGGTGAGCTTGGGAAGGGAACCTGCTCCCCTCCCCCTAGTGAGTGTCCTGTCCTTCGGTGCAGCGGACCACACCCCAGTGTAGGAGGAACATAGTGTCTGGGGTGGAGGGTTTCCTGACACAGGCTCCTCAGTGGCCAGAGGTTGACCAGCAGATCCCTGCATCCCTCCCCCACTTAAATGTCCAACCTAAAGGAAAGTCACTTTTTGCCCAAAGATGCCCCTGGGCTTGGTGCAGGGATTGAGGAAAGGGAAAGGATCCACAACTTGTGGCTCTGGCCACCCTCCTCAGGCCACCACTGGGCATCCTAGCTTTTGATCTTGGGTCTGCAGGGGCATCCACAGCCCATGCTGTGCTGCACCCAGAATATCAAAAGCCTCAAGCGGGCTGGAGTGGGTGTAGGAGCTTGTCAATACATTTTGGAGGGGGAGGACCTGGAGACTTCTAGACTGGTAAAATGAAAGCAAAACATTGCCTGTGACTTCTGAAAGTGAAGCTCTTGCCTCATCCGGGACTGTCTGGGGCTGGAAGGAGGGGGAAGGGTGAGAGGTGTTATTTTTAAAGATCTGGATTTATTAATACGTTAAGAAAGAGCTCCCTTGGCAGTATGTGTTCTCACAGTTCCGACTCAGATCCTATAAAACATTCATGCTCTGAAAGCTGTTACAGAGAGCTGCCCCCCACGCACACCAACAGAGGCCTCAAGGGGAGGTTTCTGCCCTGCATGGGCCAGGAGGCCCCAAAGCGTCCTCTGGGACGGCTCGCGTCAGTGCTGCTGACCCCCATGCCCGGGTTCCCAGGCCACGCAGCTAAGTGCCACAGCAGAAGTGGCAGGGGGCCTTGCATCTGCCCATCAGGGCGCCAGAGCCCTTCTGGGAACCCCTGCAAAGGTGGGATCTGCAGGGAAGGGCAAGACTCTGCCAGGTCTTGGGGGGACTGTAGGGAGGAAGAGAGACAGATCTCGCAGCGCCGAGGTCCCACTCCATCCCCCAGCTGGGGGTCAGCAGGACCCACCTGCAGCTCAAACCACTCTTCCTCGCCTAGGACTCAGGGGCAGGGCGGCTCCCTGCCTTTCCGCTCCCCCAGCGCCCTTAGCCTTGCAAGTTCCAAAACCTCTCTAGCCCAGCTCGTGGTCACCTGTAGTCAGGCCCGGGTGCCGTCCCCAGGTCAATGAAAGCAGCCTCAGGCTTGGCGCTTGGAGATTCGGCCTGGTCTGCGCGCAACCCTGCCTGCCCATCGACTGCCCAGCTGCGAACGGGGCTTCTGTCTGCGACTCAGGTGCCCTGCCCTGCGCTGCGCTGCGCTGCCCTGCCCTGCCCGCTGGCCCAGCCCTCCGCGCTTGTAAAATGAAGACAGCGGCTAGTTGTAGGAAATGAGCATTGCTAACTTTGTTTTGGGCTTTGAAAGTCTCTCCCCACCCCCAAAACACTCCAATTCCAAGGACAGTTAAAGTGGAAATTAACCAGGGGGTTCTTTTTGCACTAGTGACATCAGTCAAGCAACAAGACACATGGGTTTTGCTAAATTCTTTTATTTTTGTTTAAATTTTCACTTCAATTTTAATTCTTGAAGAACAGCCTCGACAACATATATCGCACTCATTATAAGAAGCAAAGGGTTATATCAAAAATTATTAGTATAGAATCACAGGAAATCTGGTTTGGAACCAGAAAAAAATACAAAACAGATATAGATACATAGACACAGGACACTTTTTATAATTATTTGGAAAATGTTATTTTCCCCTAATTCTTGTTTCCTTTTTTATGCGCATACGATGTTTAAATTTTACAAAAAATGAAAATAAAGACTAGTATTTTACAAAATGAATAACAATGTTGGTGTGTGTGTACGTGTGTGTGTGTGTGTGTGTGCATGTGTGTCTACATAGGATTCAGTCCACTTCCATGTGTGTGGTTTTCTGTACAGAACACATCCACAGCGTCCACAATAAATCCTGGAAGGTCCATTAGTTCCTTTCTGTTTTATTAAAATTCTCAATGGTCCTCTCTTCCAAAAAAAATTCATTTTCTCACTAGACACAAGATCCTTTTTCCTTCCTTCCCAACGTGCTCACAGATCTGATCCTAAGACAAGTCTTTCCACCCAGTTTGCAGCTCGGGGTGCCCTGCTGCAGGGCAGCCACTCCTGCCCCCAGCCCCCTCCCTCTGGCCTGCCCGGCCCTCAGCACCCGCAGCCCCCAAGGCTCTGGAGTCCATGGCCTTCAGGAGTCTCTTAGTCTCTAGGGGAGGAGGCAGGGGCAGGCGGCGGGACCTGCCAAGGTCTAGGAGCACTGGATGGACATGTAAGGCCAGTTGAAGCTGCTCCCGGACAGTAACATATCTCGGATGAGAGTTTCGATGGGGGTTTTACCTACCAAACGGACGAAGAAGAGCTGCTCGATGACCGAGGAGGACACGGTGCGCAGCGAGGGCAATCGCAGCAGCAGTTTGCCAAAACGGCTTGGCTGGTTGGGGTACTGGCTCCTCACATATTCCTCCAGTGCACACTGGGACTTCTCCTGCAGGCTCTCGATGTGGGCGGCATCCGACAGGCCACAGGCATCTGCCAGAGCAGCCACAGGAGGGGAGAGACAGGGGAAGGGGGCACACAGTTAAGCCAGGGAGCAGCAAGGCCACAAACACCATGCTATCAATTTTTATTTCAAGGAGAAAAGGCAAAAGAACAAATAGGAGGGGGAAAGAAGAGAAATCTTCCCCACTCCTTTCATCATTCCCTGCCCCCAGCTCCCATACAAATAAAAATAAATCAAGCCCCCACCTGGCCCTGGGGAGCCGAAGAGAGACACACACGCATATGCAAAAGCAGCAAACCCTCTAGTCCCTTTGTTTTTCTTGCTTCACCTTTGGAGTAAATAATGTACAATACTGGAGCCACGTTTGCTGTGGAGAGCAACCTGTCCTTGCCTGCAGGGCAACATCTTTTTGGCTGTGCTCATTAGAGGGAGGACTTTTGCCCCTTTTGCCCCTGATTTCAGGGTGTTCAGGACCCCTGAAGAAATATACAGCTTGGAGGCAGTTCTTAAAGGTTTCTTGGAATCTTCTCTGAAATCCAAATGACCCCAGCCAGAAAGCTCAAGGAGGACTGAGATTGTGCAGTGAACACACGTGTAGATGGGGGTAAGGAATTGCCTAGAATCAGATCAAACCTATGCTTTAGCCATAAAGGATTGAGATCCACTATCTATGCAAGAGAGGCTCTGCAGCAAATCCTCCGTGAGAGTGTATACTTCTATCTGTGCCTTAGATCAAGTAATTGAAAATTGGTCACATCTCTGTAAGCTGTATACTAATCAGGAGGAATATGGCTCAGTTACTCCAGGCTTCAGAGAGGAGGCATCTTCAGGGATCAGACACAAAGCTGGGTTGGGGGCAGCTGCTGCTGCTCAGGGAGTGGGGAGTGAAGGAGGATCTGGGGGTAGGGGGACCAAGGGAGAAAAAAGCAGCTCCACACAATGATGGCATCGCAAAATCTGTGCTTATTTCACACCAACCAAGGCCCTTCTTGGTGGTCTAAAAATATTTTAAGACAGATGATTATACTATATCAACTAACCAGAAGCGAGTGAATGGAGGAACTGGTGGAATCAAGAGGCAGAGAAGAAAGGCCTCCTTCCTAGTTCAAACACCCACGTTGTTTCTTGTATTAATAATAAATATTTTAAAAACAGGAAGATCACAGAGCAGCCCTTAGCCAGTCAGGAGGTTGACAAGAGATCAAAGGCAGAGTTTGCTAATATATAGATCTGGGGAGAAACTCATGCATAGTTGTGCCCCCATAAGGACATACTATACTTGTGAATGGGCAAGCGTGACCTTAAGACACAACAAATGATTCAAAGTGAAATGGGTGTCTGCTAAGTTTCGAAGCTTTCTGTCCTTATATTTCAAGAACTAGGATTCACAAAGCATTCTAACACCTTCATCTACAAGGCTATGGCCTAGAGCAAAACTACAAATAAAACTAGGGCTAATCCAAGAACTTCTGAGGCAAGTCCCCTTTGACCTCCAATTCAGACCTTCAGCCTCTCAGATGGCTAATCACTCCAGCTAGCAGGTGGAATGAAGCCACACTGTATTGGGAGGCTAGTGCGGTTCTAGGGCAACAGGGCCAAGGCAGGAGCTCTTGGGGCCTTAATTCTTCAGACTCAGGTCTGCCCTTGACCCCACTGCTAATATGGCCCCACCAAATGGCCAGAATGCACATATATATGTATATATTGCTTTTCATGCCTTATCTGTCCATGATGCCAGGGATCACCCCCCCCCACATACACACATAATACAACACAAAAAGGACCCAATGATAGATACCCCAAGAGATTCCTAAAAAAAGATCCCTAGGATATCCCCTCAGGTTAGTAAACCATTTATCTGATATTTACCACTAGGGTTCCTAGAGTACAAGGTTATTTTCCAACCACCAAGTGGGCCACTCCAAGAGACAGAAGCTTAGGAAAGCTGTGCTGGGGCCAGGTGCTGGCCGCACATGTTTCTCTTCTCTAAGAAGGTCCAGTGCCTCAGCTGGACTCTCTGTCCAGGTGACCGGCCAGCAGCCTGTGGTGCTCCTTGGACAGGAGCCCTAGTTCTGGCCTGGCTTTAAACCTAGAGTGTTCATGCCCCCTCTTGCAACAGGATTCTCCCAATTCTGGACAGACCATGGGAGATTTCCTAGCAACTGGAGGATACTGTGGCAAAGCAAGGTTGGTGGGGGCTATCATACAGGTCACATTTACACCACAAGAGTTATTGTCCAGATAAGAAAAGGAGAAAGAATGTGCAAAATCCACAGCTCCCTTTTTATATGGTAGTGTCAATGTGGGAACCCTCAATATTTCTTTTACAGTGTATGGAAAAGAAATTATGTAAATAAATAACCATTACTGCTCAGTCCCTCCCGGCTTAGCCTTTGTAGTGCAGAGAATGTATTTCATGTTGTACATTCAGAAGAGTTTAGTGTTCAGGAAATATAGATGTAATCAGCTGCCATAACTAGAAATCAAAGTTATTATTGTGTTGAAAATGGATTTATTGTATTTATGTTAACTAGATTGGTCCTTTCAAAGATGGACTCATTTATTTGAAGGAATATTTAGGTGTATGAATTAATGTATTTTTTTAAAAGTAAGTTCAGGTCATGACCTAGTCCTTGGACGCTGTCCAGAATATTAAGGATTAAACATACCATCCGGAGGCCAAATGTGAAAACCACCACAGGGGACCCCCGTGCCAGCTTCAAATACTTAGCGGAGCAAACCACGTTGGACAATATGTCTAAAACTGTCTTTTCCATCATTCAAAGTTTGCTTAAAAGTTGGATGACTTTGAGAAGGCTTCCCATGAATTCCCTTCTGGCTGGCAATCAAAACAAGTTTAGTCAAAAGTGGAAATGTGTTGTATGGAGGAGGGGGGCTGAATTACTACTGACAGCTCTATTTCCATTTTCAGATATTCTGCCTGCAATTTTCCAACAAAATAATGTTATTGTTCACTTCTAGGGACCTCATGCACCTTGAAGACTTGGTTCAAGAAACTTCTTTGGAAAACATCTTTTTTTTTTTTTTTTTTTTTTCCTTAAGGAACACTTCTCACAGGAATGTTTTAGGATGGAAAGTTAAAAGAAAAGCATGAATAATTCCACAATGTTCCCTGCAGCCTGCACAGCCCTTGCCTCTCTCTGGGAAAGGGCATGGGATCAGCAGAGTCAAGGGGGTTCAAAGAATCTTGGGGGGGGGGGCTAGGAAAAGGGAGGGAAGATCTTTCTCGAGAAGACCTCTGTCCAGCTCCAAGTCACATTTCTGCTTCCAGACACCTCGCTGGATGAGATTTTAAAGCCCCAGCTTCCCTGACACTGGCTCGCTTCCTGATGAATTTGGCTTAAGAGCCGGGTGGTGGAGAGCCAGCCAGGCCCCAGGCCTGCCAGAGCCGAAGCAGCCTAGTCGCTGCTTCCCAGGCTCTTTGTCACTTTTGAAAAACACGTTTCCATCAAGAAGACTTATTAAGATAAAATGCATTCAAACACCAAGGAGGCAATTCAATAAATCTTCCATTTGTTTTAAGGTTCACAGTTTATCCTCTTGCAAAGAATAACTCCCTCTCTCACCAGCGGACCTGCATTTGCAGTGAAAGTAAAAGGGGGGCAGTCCAAGTCCATGGCTCTGGCCACCCTGCATACAAATGAGATGCTCTTGTCTAAATAAATTATCTGCTGTTCAGATCGATATTAATACTACATTTGCTACATTACAATATTGTGCAAATTTAAGAGTCATTTTAATACAATGTAAATACGATTCTTCACGCATGAAAGCCAGGAAATATTGATAGATTATCCCAGTGCTTACTGTTCTACAAGGCCTTGGGAAAGAGCTTTTGCCATCTCTGCTCAAGAATGGTTTTAATTTGGCCTTTGGAGGGCCTGGCTCTAGGATAGATTTATTAGAATGGTTTATTTGTTCTCCGAATGCAGGAATTAAAAACAATAGTGCCAAATAACGGTGCTGAGACTGCAGCTCTCCCTGTTCACAGCGCGCAAGGCCCAAGACCCAGGCTGAGAGGCTCTGCGCCCCACCTCTCTGGCTTTGTTTATAGTTCCCCCCATTACCTGCTGCACGGGTGTTTATGTTTCTCTCTCACAGGTTACAATAATAAAAGGCGGGGAGTGTTCTCAGCGGCTCAGACCAGAGCCCTTCAAAGGCAACATTAATACACTTTCCTGGAAGTTAATTTGAACCATCTATCATAAGAGAAATTGTTAACATGCATGTTACCACCGCCTACACTTAATTTGATATTTTAAAGGCACTCTTCTCAATTTCCAGGGTTCATGTGTTTTGCATAGCTATGAAATTTATCTCCGGGGTCCGGGAATCCTCTCCTGCTTGCGGGTTCTACAGTATTGCTTTTGTTTTTTTTATCTCTTTCTTGTTTAGATCGAATCCATTTTTTATGACCCTCAATAACCTCAGGAACTGCAAACATGAATGGTTTCCGATAAGGGAAAATCAGGTAGCAATAAAGTGGGATTATTTATGATTTATTCGCGAGGATTCTTCTCTTTCCACCTCTCTGTCTGTGGTGTGTGTCTCTTTCTGCCGAGGAAAACTCCTCCAGGGAGCATGCACACAGAGTAGAAAGCCGCATTCTCACGTTCTCATGCTTCCTTCTCCTCCCTCAGAAACGCTGAGCTCTGGCTCGCACATGCACACACACACACACACACACACACACACCCCGCGCGCACACCCGCGCTCACGCGCAGCCAGCCGCGTCCGCAGCAGCGCCTGCCTCCGCTCCCCCCCGGACGCACTCGCGCCGCCGCGGCCCAGGCCCGCGCGGGTCCAGGCCACCAGGCCCGGCGGCTGCCCGCCCCAACCGCGCAGCCTTGCCTCCCGCACAGCACGCTCCAAGATGGCAGCTACGCGGCGCCCGCGTCCCCGCGTCCCCTCCGGCCCGAGGTCCGAGAGGGCCCGGCCGGGGGCGCGCGCGAGGTGCTAGCAGCGTGGCCGGGGCGGCGCGGCCTGGCCTTCCCGCGACCGGCCGCAGCCTCACCTGACGTGAACAGCACGATGGCTTTGAGGCAGCTGTACTCGGCTGAGTCGACGTGCAGCGCCTTGAGCTTCTCCACCTGTTCCTGGAAGATGCGGATGTGGTCCATGAAGGCCACGACGCGGTCCGCCGACATGGGCGAGGCGTGCAGGCCGGCGGCGGCCAGCAGCGGCGCCACGTGCAGCGGCATGGAGCACTGGGCCGCGTTGAGCACGAACAGCTCGCTCCAGGTGAGGCGCAGCAGGGACACCTGGTCGGTGATCTGCAGATCCGGGAAGAAGGGGATGTTGCGGGCCCACTCGACGGCGCTGAAGAGCAGGCGCGCGGCCAGCTCGCAGATGTTCTCGATGCCCATGATGTTGTTGGGCTGCATGCACTGGCTGCCGTAGCGCGACGTGGGGTAGGGCTCGGCGCGCAGCAGCAGCGAGATGTAGCCGGACAGGTAGCAGTGGCCATTGAGGGGGTCCCCGTTGGTGAGTGCGTACTGGCCTGGATTGGGCTGGGTTGGAGGCATTCTTCCTCGCTGAACCGCTGACAAAAAGAGAGAGAGAGAAAAGAGGCAATGTGCACCCCAGGGCTTGCTGAGCACCGCCACACCACCGCCGCGCACCCGACACAATGCAGGTCTTCCCGCAGCCGCAGCCACGCACGCCCGGCGCCTCGCATCTTCCTGGCTCGCCCAGGCCGCGAGGAGATCCGGGGTGAGGCCTCCAGCTTCGCAGCCCGAGGTGGTCAGCCATAGCTTGTGCCCTGAGCCACATCCACACCAGAGGAACTAGGCCTCACTTCAGGGCCCCCAGCCCTGCATGGCCCATAAAGTGCCACCCAACCCCTTGACCACCAAGAAGGTACACACAGATCTCCACAACCCATGCACCCCTCCAGAATGTAACAAGTCAGGATTAAAAAAAAAAAAAAAAAAAAAAAAAAAAAAAAAAAAAGACGAAACCTGAGAAAGGTTGTGGTTCCAGGCAAATGCCTAGCGGCCTCTTCATTTGCAAACAAGCAGCGTTTTGCACATAAAATGATTCCATATTCTCTAAAAATACTCTAGAATTACCCTTAAAACAGATACAAGGTCCAAGTCCTACTAACCACTTACAACTTTTGAGTGGAGAGCAAGTACCCCACACCCCTCCCCTCTCCCCTCCTCCCCCATCGCCCCATTCAAAGTTGTCACTATCAAAAGCAACAGAAAATCGAAAAATTTCAAGAAAACAGTTGAACTTACAGTAGCCAAACATTATTGAAAAAAGTGGGTAATATAATTAATGTCTGTCCTGCGTGGTATCCCTGCAACCCGCAGCCAGCTTTGCCCAGTGAGTGCACGAGCTTGCAACTGCAAAAACACTGGATTCATTAACCATCTGAATGCAAAACGTAAGCATGCTTTGAGTTCTTAAAGCTGACCAAAGTTTTTTTTTTTAATGTGTATGTTTTTCTTCAACAGTGCCAGCGTTTTAAATTGCCATGTAAACAAAGACAACTTTAGGAAAAGTTAGGGCCACTGAAATCTCCCCCCAACAAATTGATATAGATATGTCCATGTACACATAGCTGTCTTATTTCGGGTTTTGCACTATTTTCTTAAGTTTGCTTTGATTCTAATTTCAATGCAAGTTTCAGTGCAATTTAAGCTCCTGAAACATAATGGCTAGAATACTTTTTTTCTAATTATAGTTTTGAACTTGGCAGTTATTTTTCAATTAAATGAGAGCACAATTCAAAGTTGTTGTTGTTGTTGTTTTTTCAGATGCCTACAAAATCTCCCTGGAGCTAGAAATGAACTCGTCATATTTGCCTGCTCCTGAGATCTGAAGGAATTCAATTTCTTTTCTTGTGGCATATAAAATATAATTTTAAAGTCAATTACAAGAAGGAGTAATCTTCATTCTGCAAAATTGACTGGTTCACTAATTTGACGATAAGACAATCTTTAATGATTGTCAGGAGATAAACTTTAACTATAAACGGCTAAATATATTTATAAGAAAAGTACTGCATCTCTTGCCACATGAACATGAAGCATATCCAAACACAACATCAAAAGTTGTGTTAAAAAAACAACAAACCCGTACAACACAGAGATTAAATGATGTGGAAGCCCACGCCAGCTGCAGTCTATGCATTATGGCCAAATCAGAAGAATCACTAAATGCCGTTGTAAATTGTAATTTGTATGCAGTATTTAAGCAGAGGGTGGAGTTTGATGAAGAAATAAAATGAGTACCATGCTTTAAAAAAATGACACTACGATGAAAGCGCGGTTCAGTCTCAAACTTTCCTTTCAAAGTAGAGGGGTGAAAACAAGGCCACAGCTCTGGAGGAGACGGCCCCCGCTCAGTGAAGAGAAGAGGGAGCCAGTGGACAGGCCAGGAGCCCCCCTTCCCCCCCTAATTAAACCTACAAGTGCAATAAATCTCACTTCTCTATTTCCAAGCTAAGCTTGCAAAAGGATGGTGGCAGCAATGAATCTAAGGTTCAGGGTACTCCAGTCCCCCTCCCATTTTAAACACAAGGTACGAAGAGGTGCAGGGGGAGTGGAATGAAAAAACACAGAAAACAGCGTGGGGGGAAGCACCCATGCCCAAGTTCATGCCGGCATAGCCCCAAGCATCCTCACGCACGCGCGGGAAGGAGACACACACCGAGCACAGCCCGCAGGGTTAGGGAGGCGATCTGCAGCCACAGCGGCTCACGTCCCAGGGACACAATCCCGAGCAGGCAGCGGGCGGGGTGGGGGAGCGGGGAGAGCAGCGCAGGCTGGGAGGGGGCGGCAGCGGCAGCGAGGTGGGGGGCGCTAGGGGAGGAAGCGGCGGGGACAGGGGAAGCCCCAGCCCCACACAGCAGCCAAGGGGTGAGAGAAAGAAAGCGAGCCAGGGAGGCGGGCGGAGCGCGGGGACAGAAGCAGAGAAGAAATATTCACCTTCCCGCCTCATGCCCACTTTGAGGCACTTCTTGAGGCGGCAGTATTGGCACTGGTTGCGATGGTGCTGGTCGATGGGACAGTTCCTGTTGGCACGGCATGTGTAAGTTAAGTTCCTGCGGACGCTCCTCTTGAAGAAACTTTTGCAGCCCTCGCAGGTGAATTGGCCGTAGTGCTTGCCGCTCGACTTGTCCCCGCACACCACGCATTCGATGTGCTGCTGGCTCTGGCCCGAGCCGGGCGGGCCCTGGCCCTTGTCCCCCGCCGTGCCGGGGGTGGCGGGCGCTCCGGGCTGGCCCGGGGTCTGCGGCGTGTGCGGCGCGCCCGAGCC